GTGAGGCGCTCCCGGTTTGCATTCTAGGCCAGGCCCATCGACAAGGCCCTTCCTTCACCACCTGCCAGCCGCGCAGAGCCGAGCCGGGGTTTACGGAGTCTCCTGGCTTCACACGCTCAAGCTAAGCTGGTCCGGAGCGCTGTTCAGTTTGTGTGTTCGAGCGGCGGCACGCACAAGCTGCTGCGGCAGGTAACGCTGGGGGTGGTGCGGTCCTACCGGGGTGAGCCCGCAGCTGGCTGATAGAGAATCACAGCATGGCAGGGGTTGGAAGGGACCTCAGGAGATCACCCAGTCCAACCCCCCTGCTAAAGCAGGTTCTCCTAGAGCATGTTACACAGGACTTCATCCAGGTGGGCTTTGAATATCTCCAGAGAAGGAGACTCCGCAGCCCCCCTGGGCAGCCTGTGCCAGTGCTCTGTCACCCTCAAAGCAAAGAAGTTTTTCCTCATATTCAACTGAAACCGCTTGTGTTTCAGTTTGTACCACTGCCCCTTGTCCTGTCGCTGGGCACCACTGCAAAGAGTCTGGCTCCGCCCTCTGACACCCACCCTTAAGATATTTGTATGTATTGATGAGGTCCCCTCTCAGTCTTCTCTTCTTCAGGCTGAACAAGCCCAACTCTCTCAGCCTTTCCTCGTAGGGGAGATGCTCCAGTCCCCTCATCATCCTTGTAGCCCTCCTCTGGACTCTTTCTAGGAGTTCTTCATCTTTCTTGAACTGGGGAGCCCAGAACTGGACACAGTACTCCAGGTGGGGTCTCACTAGGGCAGAGTAGAGGGGGAGGAGAACCTCCCTCGACCTGCTGGCCACACTCCTCTTAATGCACACCAGCCTGGGCAGTAGTGGTCAGGTTGCCCCTGCTCGTTCCAGCTTGATCTCGTGGTAGGTCACCCTTGCCATTGTGCTGGCACTTCTGTTCAGGGATCTGCTCGGGAAAACAGAAAATGGGAGTGACCTGATGAAAAGCCCATCCATCTATCCTCCCCCCCTGCCCTCCGTCTGGTGAGGTTCGGTATCAGTGCTGTTAACAGGGCAGCGGGCACTGGAGCAAAACCTCATGGGAAGCTGCCATAGCTCCCAGCCTGGCTTTGCCCTGGGTGCCTGCCCCTCGAGCAGCAGCTGCAGTGCTGGGAGGATAGGCGATGCAACAGCTTCGTCACAAAACCCGTCCCGTCTCCCTGAAACACTTCAAGATTCCCAGGTAGTTTTGACCCCATGGGGATGGCTATTCTAGGTCTTTTTAGGGCGGGTTTGAAATTGTGTAATGTCTAATACGCTGGGTAATATTTCTTGGATTCTACAGGACAGTTTTATTACTGCTTTCCCCCGTTTTCTTCAAGATGATTAAAGTATTTCAGGTTATTTGTGTGAGCAGTTTATTACAGTGAACTTTAGTTTAATTTGTGTGAATATTGGGGAAATAAGTAATATATTTATGTAATTTTATACATCAGTTCCTTTCTCTTGACTGTATAATTACTATCTTTTAAATTATTATTTCCATCTTAGTAGCTGTATATATTGAATTCTCTGCAAAGGTGGTAGCACTGCCCAAATGCTCGGATGCTCTCATTATAGAAAGCTGTTTTCAAGAGCTTGCAGCATTCCTAAGGTTTCCACTCCCTTCTCTTGTGTTTCAGCTACCATTTTCCTGGCAGATATTTCTGGCTGGCTGGCTGACTTTTCTTTTGGCTGAGCTGGATTGCTCAGTTTTGAGAATTAGAACTCTCAGTCTTTGCCAGCATTAAAATCTTCTGGTCACCTGGTCTAAAAAGCTTTTTCTGGAACCCAATTTTAAGAGGAAAAGATTTGAAATTTAGCAAGAGCGGATGCACATTTTGGATGTTCATTTTGCTGTTCCTCTGAAAAAAATGTGATAACTTGGCCAAATATATCTACAAAAATCAAGTTTTGCATGCTTGTAGATTTCTGAAGAGTTTAGTGACTGAAGTACCCAAAGAAATGCACCCCTGTTGCTTCACAGACAACAGCTCGTACTGGGGGATCTTTGTGGAGTAAGTGTGCACAGTCCAGTGTAGAAAGACTTGTCCCGTAATTGTTTCTCTGGGGCAGGCACTGGAAGTATTGGATTTGCTTCTGTTAGAGCATTCATTTTTTAAATCAACAGGTGATGTTCACATGATAGAAGCAGATGTTCTTCTTCGTGGCGGCAAGGGAGGAAATGGAGACCCTATCATGGCTCATCCACCCGAAACAGACAGTGACAACACATTGCAGGAATGGCTAGAAGAGATTATCCACACAAATAAAGGCATCAAGCTGGATTTTAAGAGGTATCTCAAGGTTACAAAAGGATTTGTTTATTCTTTGCGATCTGGCCAATTAAGAGTTTTGCAGGTAGTGCTAACTATCTACTGGCCATGGTAGACCAAACTTATTGTGCAATTTAGTGTAATGCATTCCTTCCTAAACAGAAAATGCAGTGATACATAATCAGTATTACTAAATGCATTGCAAGAATAAAAGCTTTGAAAGTGTTTTGAACTACAAATAATGATTTCACATTCAATGCATTTGTTACCAAGTTGCTGTTGAGCAAAGTTTTCCTATCGGGAAAACTGAAATGACAGTGACTTTTTGGGGAGCTCCCACGAGTTTTATGCTTGTGCTAGGAAATAGGGAAAGACAGCCTTCTGAATGGAAAGTTAAATAGTAGCTCACAGGCTTCAAATGGAGCTGAGGCCTCTGGGTCTGTCTGCCTGGCAGCACACAGGTCTCTCCTGTTATCCAGCTTTCTTGGTGTCACTCTCTACCATGGAAGGGGAATGAAAGTGTCAAGGTTTTTCAGTGAGCTGCTGAAAAACTTGCTGAAAAGTCAACTTCTGTTCCAGGTCTACTGACGTTCATAATAATGTAGAAACATCATCCCATACCAGCATGAATATCTATATTTTCCCAGAGCTTCCCCCCACCAGGAGAGGAATTCTGTTTCCTGATCCGCTCCAATACTAACAGTCTGTTGGGGATGTCTCAATTCAAGAATTAGGTGTACTCCTTTGCATATCTGATCTCATACCACGTATGATGTGGTGGTAGATTCCTTCAGCATGGTTTGTAATACAAAAAAGTCACCTTGCTTTTTGTGCACAAGGTGCATGTATATTGAGGTAAATTCAGTTTCTTTGACCTAACTTCTTAATTAAATTTTCAGAGGTTCATTTAAAATTTTAACTGTTTCATTGTCTTTAATGGAAAATACACCTGAAAACCCCATGAGATTGCCTTGAAAAGTTTGAAATGGGATTTAAAGTGAGCTGTGATTTTCAGATGCACACCTCTGCAATTCCTAACTTTAGCTTTCTCTGAATTTGCATGTGCAATGTCTATTTTTGCAGCAGATGGAGAATCCACCTCCACATCAAAAAGAGCGAAATCAATGCCTAAGTACGCTATAGAAATGAAAAAAAAAAAAAGAAAAGCTAGATAGTTGTAAAATGTGATTTCTACCTGTTGTTCTTTTTAATGCAATCACAGTTTTCATGTGAAGATTCATGAAAATACAAAAAATGTGGGCAGGCTAAATCCTTTTATTGTTAACAGAATCTGTAAATGTCTGCCTTGTCAGAGAAGGAAAAGGACAAGAGAAGCAGACATTTGTTTGGGTTGTTGGGGTTTGTTTTGGGTTTTTTTCATTTTAATTATAGTTTAAATTAATTTAAAAATCACAAGGCATTTCCATCCAACGGCAGTGATTTAAAAAAGCTTTTAAAATTGTGTTGCATTATAAAAGTCTAATTGTATAAAAGCTTTTGAAAGTTACAAGCACAAAATGCAGATACAGTCAAATGAGCAACACAGATCATGATGTTCTTTTGAATAATTTTTCTTTGGTTACCATTGCTGAAATTTTGAGGATTATTTCAGCAGCACTTAAAAAATATTTTGTATCTTTCTACTCTGTCAAATAATCACATTTCCTGCTGGCTTTATCCACAGTAATGAATGTATTCTGCAAAAGGCCTTCGGAGTCCCACTTCAAAAATGCCAGAATCATTCAGTATGGAGTCAGCAATACATTTGAATTTTCCAAATGCTGTGCAATAAAAACAGTGCTGTCTGGGGGTTTTTTTTGTTTGTTTCAAGAGATGCTGCTTTCGGCTTTTTTCCCTTTACGTTATCTTGTATTTTGTCGTAAAAAGGAAGGCATTCCACTGGCTTTGACAATCACTTGTATATGGGAAAAAGTGAGCTGTTCTGGCCTCAGACAATGTGAGAACTATTTAAGCCAATGAAGTTAACTCAAGCCATTACTAGGTTTTCTCTAAGACTAACTAATACTAACTGAAAGTGCTGAGTGGCATTCTCCCACTATGCAGCTTTCTCAACAATAGAAAAGTTGAAATGTGCAACATTACTTTTTACAGGAAACAACACATGTAGCTCAGGGGACAATTTTTGGCTGTAGAGCTAACCCAGTGTAACAGCTGGCTGCCATTCCTGTTTTTGGCTGCAAATCCTGACACAATTTGTCTAACCTCATCCAGAGCCAGGTTAGGGAATAACTTGGTACAGAATCATCCCTACAAAACAGTGAGAACAGTTGTTTGCCACTTTGTGTCCCGTAACTCACACGTTGCTGCTAAGGCGAGCATCAGCACCGGTGAAAGGGGCTAGAGATACAGTGGCCTTGGAATTAGGAACTGGGGAGACGTGGGAGCAGTTAACTGTCACCTGTGTGGCTCAAACAGGCACCCGTGGGGCACGCAGCCTGTGGTTTATATGGGTGTAAGCTGGAGCAGTTGTGATCCTCTCCTTGCTCTTCACAGTTACTCCTCTTCCCCTTGCTTTTCCTGGTGTTCCTGTGACACCCACAGGGACCAGTTTAGGATGTTGAACAGGGAAACTAATGCTGCAGAACAACAGGAGGAATTTTCTGTTGGCTCATCTCTCTATCGGGTCGCTGCAAAATTTTGAGGAGAAGCTAGAAGATGCTTTTCATGACTCACAGGAGAAAGCACAGGTTCTTGCTATTAGTAAGGAAGTCACAACTCTGACCATAACAATTTTAAATTTCTGAGTGTTATGTAGAATGTTAATTAGTTTGCTGTGAGAGAAAAAACACATATTTTCTTGGCATTCATTCCTTTTCCCCATTATTCCACATTTCCTTTCCTTCCACAATACTGCTGTTTTGAAAGTTCTGGTAGGATAGAGAAAGAGTATTGTTTGTCTTCCAGTTATGCTTTTTCTTTCGATTTGAGGGAACAGTCGGAGTATGTGACTTAAGGTGTGTTGTTAAATGTTTACAAGTGGTGCTACATTGGTTGCTCAAGTGGTTATATCTCATACGTAATAATTAGCTGTAGGATGAATGTATGAAGGGCAGACTTCTTCATGCTGCCACTACTATGCCACACTTTCAAGCTGTGGGAACAACTGCTACAAAAGTATTGGAGCCTGCAGTGGATTCCTTAATTAAAATCCTTCCTAAGAGTTCAGTAACATCCAAGTCTTAACAGGTCAGGAGTTAGAAGGGCCATGAGATAAGAGCCATGTAGCAGTTCACCTTGGGCAGCAGGGAGACAATGCTACTTTACACCGGGAGTAATAGTCATCTCATGGTAGAAAGGGTCCTCAGCATTTGCTTTCTGGTTTACAGGGAGGGTTTTGTTAACGTATCCATCTATATATGTACTGTACATTTCCCACCCTTAATCTGAGTGAGGTGTCTCATCTCACCCATGTGTTATTGGTACAGTCTAGAAGCCGTACGGCCTTCCTTGGAGCTTCTTCAACATGTGAAGCAGGATTTGAGGCGACCCGTTTGGATCAACGCAGACATCCTACCGGGACCTAATGGAAGTAATGCTGTAGTGGATGCAAAAGGTTTCCTCGACACTGTCACTTCATTTTTCCCAAATGTAACCCTATCGCTGGGATGGACAACTGGCTGGCATCCTGACAAACACAATAAAGGTAAAGGTAGAAAATTGAATGTTTACACTGCATAGTCTGTTTTCTTCAAATTCATTTCATAATTGATTTGAAATAAGCTATATGCTGTCGTCTTAGTTTGAAAATAGTAGTGACTGTAAGAAGAATTTTCTTCATTGATGTATGATCGTGTCTTGTATAGAAATTAGTTCAGTGTTTGAGTTGCAACAGAACTCTAGAAAAATCTGGTATTTTTGTCGTTAAACTTCAACTCATTCTCACATACTGAGGAATCCTGGGGGATAAATTGCTTAAGCCCTGTTTCAGGTAGTCTGCTCCTTGAATCCTAGGAGTATTGATTTGGTAATAGGAATTCTGGCATGTTTTCTGAAGAAAAATAATTAGCTGGAAAATTAAAAGCCTATCAGTGTGCTTTTTTAGTCTTTCCAGTCACTATGTTGCCTATGAGTAATTGAGAAAAAATTTTTAAGTTTTGTTATTGAAGTTAAGATTTTCATAGGCTGTAGAAGTAAAAGAACAGTTAAATACCATTTTAAGTAGCTGCAGTGCTTGTAAAATTCTCAACAGCAGGCACTTCAAGTGTTTCAGATTGCTTGATACTAGCATTTTTAAGCACAAAAAATTTCAAGTTCTTCATTTATGTATAACTCCAGTCCTACTGGATTAATTAATTTTTTTTTTCTAAATTTTTCATAATGTTTTTGTTTTTAAAGGGTCACCATCAAGTTAAAACTAGTCCATATTGAAGTCATTGGCAGCAATGTTTTTTAGAGAAAGGGCAAACAGATGATTTCCTGTACATTAAAAAATGTCACATTATATAGCTATATGTAAAATAACACTGCAGTTGCTGGAAACAAAGATTTTCAAAATAAGTTTGTTTTTAAATGTTAGTGTTGCTTTTTTTCTCTGGGACAATGACGTTTTTTATTTATAATCATTTAGCAATTTCATTTTATAATTACATGATTTTCACAAGACCTGTATTTGCTCTTGTTTTGTTTTGACAGCCTAACCATTCTGTAAATCATTGTGTCTTTATTTTGATAGAGACTGTATTTGTGAAGAATTCTTTTTAATCAAATGGTCTTTTACTGTAGGCTATGATTGGATGATGGTGAAAGAAATGGCTCAGATATGCAGTTCACTTTCCCAGCCTGTAACTTTCCCTGTACGAGCAGCGTTAGTACGACAGTCCACATCTGAGCTGTGCTGGTTAATCCAACAGTCGGATAGGTAAGTTTGAGGGCCTTTATTTTTAGCTGTCTTTATAATAAAGGCATGTATTTGTTTATGTAAAGCATAGCATATGTGTGTGTACATACTTGCCCCAACTGCATTGAAAATATTTTTTCTTTTAGTTTATCCCTTCAGTTCTTTAATTCCTCCAGTTCTTAAATTGTTTTGTCACACAGAAGTATTATTTAAAATAATAAAATTCCCCAAACCTCTTTTATTACCTACACTAAATAATTTTAGATCTTGTGTAGGCTTGTAATCCAGTTTCATTATAAACATTTCATAAGACTAATATAGTTAAATTAACTGAATAATTTGATGTTGCAATTAGGAATTAATTAAATTTAAATGTTTACATTTTATATATACTTTTTACTGGATTCAGTATTTATATTTTCTGTAGTAATGTCTCTTAAACATTAAAGGAGATTTTTAGATTGGAAGTCAGTGAGTTTGCTGCAAAGCTAATTAATTTTGCTTAGGTACTAGGTACTAGAAATACATTCAGTGATTTCCAAACACTGACTTACATTTTCTTTTAAAAAGTGGTCTTACAAACCCCCATAACAATTTCATTAAGAGAATTATTTACATGTAGTAGCATGAGAATAAAACCTGCTTCATATGTACTGTCATTTACTCATCTTTTTCAGCTACTCTGCCTACCTACACTTTAATAGTTATTCCTTTAGCACCAGCCAAGGTCAAAGCCCAAGGCAGAAAATTTAAGACAATCACTTGCCTGGAAAATTTCTAAGTAATTAGAAACAAAAGGATGGACAAATAAATTGCTCATTTACAGTGGAGAATCAAGAGAGAAATTAGAATTAAACATTTCAAACTGGGAAATTAATTTCAGAATATTGTTATGTTAAGAATATGTCTTGTAAATTGTGCAATTCTCAAGTACATCCTCGTTGGATACAAGCATCATTCCCACTGAAATACCATGATTTTCTCTTTTACCTCAGCATAAAAATCCCGATTTGTTGAGTGGGGTGATAAGAAGACAGAAATTCCTGAGCCAGTTTTGCAGACACACAACTAAATTCTGATTCACCTGTGTTCTAGATTAATACAGTTTTAATAAACAAAGGAGAAAATGAAGTATTTGTCATGTGGAGCTTGTGGAGGGTAATGCTTTTAACTTGAAATGATACTTCGAAGTTTTAATTTTTTTTTTAAAGTTCTAATAAAGTCTGTGCAATTAATGAGAAAAGTGTATGTGATACAGTACAGAAGATACATTCAGTTAATCAGATGGCATCACTGCACATCACTTAGGTGACAAAACATGGAGTATGAAAATCACCTACAACTGAGATTGCCTCATATTTTCCGTTCTAATGCTCTGCTTGTAGCTACTTATTACTTTGTCAGGCTTTAAATGCTCATCTTGGTAAATTTCTTTGCGAGATATCTGCCTAAGATGTATTTTACTCCCTGCTAGGTTTGGCAGAACAGTTCACACAAGGACCAGGCTACAGATAAATTCTTCTTGGTGGTGCAGGATTGTCCATCTTAAAAATGTTGCAGTCCTCCTTGGGAAGTTCTAGCAAGTTTAGCTTTAGGAGCAAGAACTTGAAGTTTGACTGGAGCCAAATTGCATGACTTACCTCCGAAATGAGGAAAAAAAAATGTGACAAAGGAATAGACCTCTGAAAATTTTAGTTTGCGTGTGTCAAACAGAGGTTTATTTAAAGACATATTCTTCAGCTAGTCTGTCTGTACCAAGCATTCTGTGCGCCCTGTGTGCAGACTAGCATGTGTTTGAGCATGCCTGTTTCTGGGGTGGCATTTTGATCCAGCAGTTGCTGTTTCCAGTAACTTGAAGTCACTTTGGTAACAACAGGGTTGGAGACACTCTCAGTGCTCTCGGCTGTAGCACAAATGCAGGGTGGAGAGCGATGATTTGCCTGGATGTAGAGGGGTGAGGAGAGCAGGGACGTATAAAACTGTTGATTCTGATAGTTCATTAATTGTGGTTGATTAACTTTGAAATCTAAAGGAGATTAAGGTTTTGATACTTAATTACATTCATAAAATTAAGATAGCATAGTCCTGAATATTTTTAGGAGCTTATTAGTGCAATGTCTTTCTGTCTCAAATGCTTTATCTTAAGATAATAACATATTCTTTTTTCTCTTTCTTTTTTTCCCGCCCTTCTTTTTGCTATAGATACAGCCTCACTGTTTGGACGGGAAAGGAAGATGTGTATTCTTTGGAAGACTTGCTTTACATCCGAGAAAACTTTGATAAAAGTAGGGTTTATTATGACATTTTAGAGCCAAAAAATTCTGAATTCAAAAAAGCCATAGGAATAGAATAGTAAATACGAACAAGTCGAAGCCTGATCTTACAGTATTTAGCCTCTTTAAATGTGAAGATTTCTTGTTTGGAGAAATGTATTTTCCTTACCAAAAGAAATGTATAGAGCACACCTGTGGTTATCGGAGGAGTTTTTGTATAAGACCTTACTGAAAGGCTTCTCAAATAGAAATTTAATGCCTTCTTAATTGTTACTTACACATCATATGCATGCTCCCTCTCATTCACCCAGTGGCGTGTGCTAAAGGCTACTCACGTTACCTAAATATTCTAGTCCTTCTTCCCTGCAAGCATAGGAAGGGGAGAATGGCCCCAGCTGATAGTTGTGGACCGAGGTAGTTTGCTACTAACTGCTTTCCTGGAAGCCGAGGTCTGTGGGACACTCAACCTCAAATAAAGCCTGTTTTTGCTTTTACAGGGGAGGACAAGAGTCAAGGCTGTATTAACTACAGAACTATGCAGCTCCCAAAGGGGTTATTTTGTAGCTCATCCTGATACACTCCATTTTTAATGCCATTGCAGTTGATAATGTTCTCACTCCTAGTCAATAGAAAATTCTGTTTGCTAGATGGGAAGAGTGGGATCGGTGATGCTACACATTCCGAGGAGAAAGAATGATTTTTACTGAATTAAAACTAATCAGGTTCTCTGCCATGTGGTAATTGTTCATTCCACACCATGGCTTGCCTCCATGCTTTCTGAGCCATCAGCAGTGTAGTCCTTGGAGTGTGAGAAGGCTGAGTTGGAGATGCAGCTGCACTGCAGGAGGTGCTGGGGTAAATGGAACCCCCAGAATGAAGAATGATCCTGTCCTGTACGTAAAGCACAGAGGTGGATTACAGTGACGTACACGTCAAAGACAGCATTAAAAGAGCTACAGTGGTTTATAAGAGAGAGAAATGCTGCTGGTTCTTTCAAGAGTTTTAAACTAAATTTTGAGTATAACAGGAGTTTTGTAGTCTGTTCTGCTGCAGACTTTCTGAAAGCCAGAGGCTCTAAGAATGAAATAGCTGTACAGTGATTAGTGCTTACAGCAAAAATTGCGCATTTATGTGATAGTACAGTTATTTTCTACATTCTCCTGGACATCTTTTTAACTCTCAGAATATGATTTCAAAAATTTTCAGAAGCTGAACTTCCCTTAGCGAAAGATTAAAATCATCGCAGCCCTTGCCACCTGCAGGAAAAGTCCGACCTCTTTCATTTTAAGCATTGTTTGGCTCTTTTGCTTCTGTATCTCTTAAAATGAATACAGACATTGACATCTGTGCTGACTGAAACACAAGCTGTGTATTGTGGTCTTTTTCCAAACATTACCAAGGGGTTTTTTTGCAACGACAAAGGAGATTTTGATTTCTAAATGAAAGCTGATTCTGTAAAGAGGCATTACCCTGGCATCTTCTTGCTCTCCTCTTCCCATTCCTCTCACATGCATGAATTTTAACTTCGATGTTCTACACATCGCTGGACAGGCTGTGGTCCTAAAGAGTTAATTACAGCAATTTTTGGTTCTTACAACTTTTTTATAGTATTAATACAACTGTGATAGAAAAGTTAGTTATATTTATTAATCCTAAATCTTGAAATGTGGTGATTTCATGCAGTCATTAAAATTTAAGATTCCTTGTTGTTACCTACAGCTCCTTTGCTTTTGCATTTTTGTCACCTACTGAGAGGTACTTGGGTAAAATTAGGAAATACTTTTCCAAATGAGGAAGAAAACTACCTAGTTGTACTTGGAATAGTTAAACAGAGCACTTAAATTAGTTTTACACAATCAGGCAACGTGAATGGCAGTAACCACCAAAAGGTCAAATCCAGCAGTGTAATTCCTTTTAATGAATTGGGAGAAATTACTTAATTTTTAGCTCATATTGACAACATGGTCTGATCTGAACAGATTTAACCGCTCCATTCTTTATAGCATCTGTTTCTTTGAGCTTTGCATGCATACTTTGCTATACCGTGGGAGGAAGAGAGATTAACTGTTTCCTAACCAATCATAGCTATGGAAAATACTTCAGATACTTCAAAGACCCTTTTCTAACCCAGATCATTTTGACTAACACGGGTTCAGGAGCTACTGTGTGAACAGGCGTGCTAGCAGATCTGATCATGAGGTATCCTTTTCTGGATGACAACCCTTTCATCTAACTCCCCTTCAGGGAGAACAGGATACATGAATGACCAAAGTTACAGGCGTTGCTTTGAATCTGTGGTACATACAGGAAACTAGTAGGAAATAGTATAGTTCAGAGGTTTTTATTTTCTGGGATATACTGTTGAACAAGAAGCACTCGGGACATCGGCTGGCTTTTGGAATCAAATGCTGCGTTACTCAAAATGAGTCGGGCAGGTGTCTGAATAACAGAATTTGCTTTTGAGGGACATAAAGGAAATAGCTTGAGGACACATTGCTGTAGCCACGTTCATTTATTGAATGAAAGGTGCAATTAAAGAGCATTGAGGTTTTTGTATTATTCTTACTGAACACTTTACTAGTTCTAGGCTTAGTCTGGGTTTCTTTTCAAGATACTGCTGGTCACTCAGATGCAGTGATACTCTATAGCCATACGTTTATTTCTAATAGATTTGAAGTCCAGAGTGTGTTGTTGTCCTTTTGTTCCACAATTTATATAAACGTTTAGGACTGGAATGGACTCCTAGGTCTTGTTTTAGCTCCTTGTTGCAGGCAGTTACATCTTTCAGTTGGTTAGGCCTTTTTGCATCTTCACGGGCAGACTTTTCTGTTACTTAGAAGCCTTTTTTTCCCCACTTATCAAAAACCATCTGAAGTATTAGTATTTGTTAAAACTGGTTAAACTATTAAGTAAAATACATTACCAGCAACTGCCAGAAGTATTTTTAAGGGTGTAGACATCATGGCAGAAGTATCACTGAGCAAAATATATGGATATTACACATGTATTAACAGGGATATTCAGATGAAATTAAAAGAAGATGTGATCTGGATTACCAGAAAAATTAATTAACAAGACCTGTAAAACTAGATGAAACAAAATGCTAGAAATTAATTCCATGAAGCATTCTTGCAGTAACAGAAGGGTTTGACTGTATGGTGAATTTGTTTATTCTGTATGGATTGTCCTGTATATCTGAATTTCTGTATGCTTTTTTTTCTTTTTTTCCTTTTTTTAACCTTCTGTCAGTGATCTATTCCTTGTACTTAATACTTTGTTGAGGAGCTGTAAATTCTGCCAGCTCTTTGTGGAATCATTCTCTGTGGGTGTTGCTTCATGTCTGTTGATATCTTTCAGCCAGGTTTTTAGTCTTAATTTTCCTTGTTACATCAAAAATCTGCTTGACTTCAATGGAATTAGGTATTGTTCAGGGTGTCTCGGTGAGTTAATTGATTAATAAAACATTTCTAATTTACCTCAAGTGTAGTTCGAGCTTTGTATTTTTCTGTGAATTTGATGTAACTTACTAAATACATAAAACAACGTTACAGAAGAGAATTGACATCATTAGTCCTGCACAACTACTCAATAATACCCTGCAGTAACATGTAAGTATACTGATGAAAGCAAAACAAGCTGATTTTCTGAGGTTTGTATTGTTTAAAAGTGCTGTGGAATTGAAGAAATGTCCCCAAAGACAGATATTTGAAAAGCAATTCTTCCCGTCTTCATCTTCAGCATTCATTTGAAGAATTACTCAGTTTTGGCCTACTCTGAAGGTCTTTTTCTTCAATTAAAACATTCAAATTAAAGCCTCTTAATGTTTTATTTAGTAGCCAGCTGTCTGCCATCAGGCCATTTGCTGATGTTACTACAGGTCTATTTCTGCACTGCCCATTAAACCCTGTTTAATGTTTGAGTCCAAGCACTGTAAATCTTTCATTTGTGATTTTTGTTGCGCTTTGTTTGGATACTGACAAAGTTAATCCCAGCACCTGGCACATGCTCTCTTTTTTCCTATCAGCAGTGTTTGTGCCACAGCTCCAGGAAGCCATACCTGAACCTTCCCAGTTCCCTTGTGCAGAATCTGGTTTACATAAACCTCCACTTCTGCAGCCCACCATCCAGAATTTTTGTTACTGGTGATCAAGAAAACCAACTTTTTTTTGTTGTGTTTTGATGCTCTTTGCAGACATTTACTCTTTAGTTTGTTCATTTTTTGTTGCAGGAATGTTTCATTCACCTGTGCAGTGTGAGTCCCCAACGCCTAGGCTTATGTTCTGTGCATTAACTTGTTTTATTTACTGTCTGTTTTACCAGGAGTTTTACCTATAAATCTTGTACTAACCTACGTTTAAAAGTAAAGGTAGCTGGATGACATCCAAGCCAGAGTGTGGTGTGAGGCTTTGCCTCTCTTCTAGGGCTTTGATGGATGAGTTTTGGCGTCTGTCTTTGCAGTGAAGTAGGATGTCACTATGTTCTTCTAGCTACTATTACTTCTGATGCATCTTTTTACTGCAATTTGCTGTAATTGCTGTATTATTACCCTTTTAGTAGCACGGTTGAAGAAGATACTCACTCCACAGTGCAGTTACGGCATTAAGGTCTGTGTTCCCTTATACGGGAGCAATAATTTCTGGCAGATTGGTGCAGTAAGCAGCTGGGGGTAGCATCTTAGGCTACCACAGCAGAGCTTATTCATTAAAAACCCATAATAAAGAAGCATTTTTTATTGTGCTTCTGGTAAAATTCAAGGTATTGTACTCCTTTGAACACCTAAAGTTTTGGGGCAATTACACATTTTTTAATATCCTTATACTTTGTCTTGGTTCCCTTGAATTTTTCAGTGATCCTTCTGTCATTATAGCTGTTGCTTTCACTGCCTAATTGTGATTCCTCTCAGAAAAAAACCAGTAAAAAAAAAAAAGAGAAAAAACCTGCATATGCAAATTCATAATCTCAATGGGGATCTGTCCAAGCAGAATTAAAACATGTTTTTAAAAAGTGTTTTTAAACTCCGTGTACAGGTCCAATTTGTATTTTAAAATGGACTAGCTTTGAGAGAGAAGGCTGTAACTCGTGCATCTGTGGCAGCTTGTGGAAGTGTTCAAAGTTGCTAGCAGATTCCTTCAGGGAAATGATACAATTACAGTTCACAAGCACGCATCTGCATCTGGATTTCAGAAATTTCGGAATAAACTGGACTGTATCTAATTCTAAAAAAATGTCTTCGCTGTTTGGTTTAAGAGCTTGGCATGTTCTTTAAATGACTGAACATAAAATCACTTTTTTTCCTGCTTGGGACAAAACCTCTGGGTGAACGCTCGATCTACAGCGTGGTGCCAGAACAGGAGGGGCCATCTTTCTGGTTAGATTTAAAATGGTGGGTTTGACTTCACGTTGATAACTCTTTTGAGTCTTCTGGTGCTTCCTTAAGTGTTGAACTGTTGATACCTTGGCTTACTGAATCCCAGTTTAGGTGAGCAGTACAGCTTTGAGCTGGGGGTTGGACGAGATCTCCAGAGGTTCCTTCCAGCCTGGGTATTTTTTATGCTTTCATGACACTTTTCGCCTGCTACCTAGTACATACTGCTGTAGAAGATTAATATGGATGCAAAAGGAGTTTAAGTTTTAATTCCTCTGTATTTTTAATTTAAGTTTTTTTAAATTTAAATTTTAAATTTAAGTTTTAATTCCTCTGTAATGCCTATAGTTTGGGTACTACAAACTTACTTTGTTTAGCTTTAACAGGTACTTGCAAGGAATTTGTTTAAGTAAAGAATTTGTGCACAGTAACTGCTCGTACCACCAGAGTGCCTCAGTCCCTAACGAAGTCCTCGGGTTCTGTTGCCCCTTCTGCACCAGCAAAAAGAAGCAAGTTTATGTTTTAATTGTGTGAAATGCTAAAGTCAAGGACGTTGTTAGGAGGTCTGTGCCTTCTTCCAACCAGCTACACGCGTTGCTGGCCAAGGAGATGCCTGTCTCATGTAGCAGGTGTCCTCTGAAGAACAGGAATTTTGCAAATTTACATGCATATGAAAGTAAGGTTAACTTGTGTAACAGAGCGTAAGATCTGTTGTGTTTTAAAAAGGGATTTAATAGCTGTGTATTTTATCAGAACAATTAGTCCAAAAAAAAAATGGAATTTTATCCCTTTCGCTCAAAGAAAAACCCCACCTGAGATGTATCCTTATCAAACCTGATCTCCTTGGAGGTATTGCAGTGCCAGTAATACTTGAAGGTGAAAACTTGGGGCTCGGAAATATTTTAAAAGAAGCATTCTTCCCTCTAATTCTGGACTTTAACATTAATTATATATATATAAAAAAAATTGTTCCTTGTCTGAATACAGTGTTAATGTTTTTAGTAGGGTGGTTGGTTGTGACAAATGTTGGCCTTTCCATAACAAGCTGTCCTCTTGTTACATGAACAAAATGGCCAACTAATGGAATAATGGTTTACTAACGTAAGAATACATTTATTTATTAATACCTGATTTTAGCAGGAAAATGAATCAGTTGTACTGCGTAACAGATGCAGAAAGATGAAGGTCTCATTAAGGATTGATGAAGGAAAAAAAGAGGAATTTAATAACTGGTTTACTATTTTTATTGTATGGCTGCATCAAATTATGGCAATATTCTTTTGGAGGTGCTGCATAATTGTAAAAGACAAAAATCAAAACAAAGCAACTCCAAATGCCCTTCTCCTTAAAGCAAAAACAAATAAAAAGTGCAGGGAAGGATATTTTGAAACCTGTAATTTGAACACTGCACCTTAAACACAACCTTGAAAACTGCTTTTTTACAGCATTCTTGTGTAGTGACTTACTGTTACTAAATCTCTTGAACCAAAATTTGAATTTTTTTAGCTGATCGCTGGTTTTTGTGAGGCCACAGTATTTGCATAGAAGTTACTTTCATTGTATGTTCCACAGTGTTTGGCTGAGAAAATGAAAAGCAAAGGTGGAAAAGGATTTTTCACCTTTCCAAACTTATCATGGAGGTTCAAAATCCGTAACCTCATAGGTGGTGTATTTTACTGGAAGCTGTAGCCTGTGTTGACAGGAATGCTTGCTCACAGAAACGCCACTTCCATTTTATGTAGTTTAAAATAGAAATGTATGTAAGGGTCTATGTCACTAATCTTTCTGTAAGTTAGAGTGGATGAGCTTGACTAATTTTTCACTGTAATGTGTGAGAACTAGCCCGGATGGTTCTCTCTGGTCAGGCGGCCACAGCTCTTAAAAGAAAACTATCAAGGCAGAAGTTTCAGCTTGTAGTGTTTTCTTTTATCAAGATAATAAAGAACACCCAAAAGGTATCTTATTGTTTGTAAACTTTACTGGTCTGGGGGGAGGGAACTTAACATTATAAATTCAGGTCTCGCTTCTCATTCTTTGCTTAAAAGACATTATGGATGACTGGAAAAACGACCAGGATTAAGATTTTGAAGGTGGCAGAAGTGTATCTCTGCTGACGTGGAACCATGGTGAGCTGCCAACAGACTGGGAGAGCCTCTCATGAAACTTTGTACAAATTTAGCTATCTTAGGTTAAATCTAGTTAACTCTTCCAGTTTTCCTGTATAGAGAGCCTGAGGAAGACTGGCGAGCGAGTACCTTTGGTAATGACTCAAAAAGGATGTGTCTGTTTCCATATTCCCTGAATGGGGGAAAAAATAACTTTTATTTATGCATCATAACGACATCAGCAGAACAAAACAGAATTGTTTTTCCTTTGAAGGTCACTTGTAACATTGATGCAACAATAAACACTAATGTTAACCTTTCATATTACTTCTGCGACAAAAGTAAGTGCAAAATACTGGCAACGCTACAGATGAACTTCACTCCTCAAGACATTTGCCTTTTTCCTCCATTGTCTGAGCATTTTGTAAAAAAATGACAGTTTCATTTAAGGGAGCAGTAACACCATATATGTAATTAATTTTAAAACCACTACAGCGGAAACTGGGCTTTATACCTTCAGCAAGGATACCAGTTAGAACGTCTGATCTGTTAGGTGATTTTTTCAAAAAAAGAACTTGTATTTTTCTAAGATATATTTTAGCTTCAAATATTTAACTTCATTGCTCCTGAGGGATGAGAAACTAAAGAAGTACGATGGTCACCTCTGAGTAAGCCAAACGTGATAGTGTAGTGGCTCACCCTGAACCTTCCCAGCTGTCGCTGGAATGCTCCGCATCCCGGGTTAGCAGCACTGTGACTGGAGGGGGGCAAAGGACACCACGGCTTTCAAGACCTGTATTTTGTGGGGAAGAATTAATTTTTGACAATTGTGATACAGATTTGCATCTTTGCTTATTCTGTCTACCTTTGAGAGCTTGGCCAGAGAACCGGCGGTAGGATCATCTGTCTTCTAGCAGCCATCACTACAGATTGGAGAGACTTTGTCGCAAAATTCATTTCAAGCTTTAAATTTGCAGTTTCAGGTCAGTGCT